CAACGCCTTCTACGAAGCAGGGTGCTTCTAAGACGCCGTCCTCCATCCGGGCCCGAGGACCGTCAAAATGGCAGTCAAGATGAAAGACCAGTCCCGGGGACTGGGTCGAGACTTCTGGGGGTCGACGCCATGAACAAACATGACGTCGGGGGGTCTGGGACAACGGGGCTGCGCGCGGGGGGCGGGCTTCTCGGCAGCCAGAAGCGCCTTCTAAGAAGGCCCCCTGCCCTCTGCGAAGCCCCACGCACCCTCCTTCTTGGTAATTAGGCCGCCCCCCTCGCGCCAGCCCCCTGTGAGCACCGCCGGCTCTGGCAGCGCGCAGACCCTGAGATCTCCGACCATCTGGTGCGGCCAACCCTGGCGGGTGTTCTTCGCTCTCGGCCCCCCCCCAGGGGCCTGCTGCCCAGCCCCGGGGACCATCGGAGATGGATCCGGGGCGCAAGCCGCGCCCTGGGCAAGGGGTCGGGCTGCGCCACGGAACCTCGCAGGCGTCGGGCGCATGCGACCCTGAAGCCCGGGCGTCGCAATTCTTCACGCCGGGCGCGTTCGCCCAGATGTGGGCCCCAGGACCCTCCTCATGGATCGACCCGGCTCGAAAGGTGCCGCACAGGGGACAGAACCGAGGGCCCCAGATGTGCTGTCCCGCGAGGCTGTGTGCATTTGCTTCCCAGCGTCGGCCTCGGTAGCGGAGGGCGGGGCGAGGGGGGGGACCTTGCAAGCAGGCAGGGTGCTTCCTGCAGGGGTGCGGGGTATAAGACGACGGCGACGGCGACGGCGACGGCGACGGCGACGGCGACGGCGATGGCGGCGACGACGACGGCGCTCTGGGCGCGCAGGGGCGTCTTAGAGGGCGGGAGGACTTTGGGAGGCCCCCGTCGCCGCTGCCGCCCTGCGGCGCGCCGCCGGGTGCCCGGTCTGCCCCCCCGCGGCCGGCGGTGGAGGAGCTGGGCGCGGCACGGGGAGCGAGCGCCGCCGAGGGGGGCGGGGAGAAGACGGGCGGGGTGCGATCGGACAGGGCACCCGAGAGGACACAACCGACCAGCCATAACTGGGGGAGCTGTGGTCCTTACCCCCCTGGGGAACCCATCGCATCGACGATCTCTCGAGAGGGGTGTCGAAATCGATGGGTCCCCCAGGGGGGTAAGGACCACAGCTACCCCAGTTGTGGCTGGCCCGCACAAGGCTCGTCCGACCGCAGCGTGGCCCCAGAGCGCAGAAGGACGCGCGTGCTGCACAGGTCGGGGTAGACAGGACACAAAGGGTGCCCTCGACTGGGCCTGGTCGACCCACCAATCAGGGCCGACCGAAACTGGCCGACCCGACCCGCCGGTCCGGCCTCGGCGGGCCCGTCCGGAAGTCTGGGCTCGGGATGGGCGCAGCAGCTCGCGCACGTCTCACGGGCTGCTGTTGGCTGTGGCCCCACACGGGCTCGGCACGACGGGACACAGGGGGAGGGGCAGAGCCGGCCCGAGGCAACCCAGGCCTCCACAGCGTCTCTGACAAGGTCGCGCTGGAAGCACTTCGAAGCGTTGGGCGCCAATGGGGGCACCTCCGCGGGACCGCCAGGAGGCCACTCGGGACGAGAAGCCTCCCCGGGGGAAGGGGTCGAGAGCCCCAAGGGCAGGCGACTCAGAAGCATCGAGTCGACAGAGGTCTGGCGGAAGGGCGTTCCTCGAAGCTGGGGCCGTTGAAGGGACGGCTCCGAAGGGCTGCGTCGGAAACGAGCGGTGCTGGGCCGAAAAACTGGGGGCGTACATGTGGTCGTGCTCTGCCCTATTCGTCAGGAAGCGGAACTGACAGTATTCCGCCCTATTCCTCACATGGCATCGCAGAGGGCTACAAGCGATTACTATTCTACCCTGCCCGTTCTCTTGCGGAGCTTCCACTCCCGTCGCACTGCCTTGTATACTAAACCATCTGCGAATACAGCTCCCGGAAGAGAAATACCGAAGACCATACAGACGACCACGGAAAAGCATAATGACGACGACGCGCGCGATTGCGATCTCGAATCCAATGCGGGGCCCGCGCTGGAGTCCCACCAATCCTCTGGGCGTAGGTGGTTTAGCGAGATAGTTATTCCAACCTCATTCTTTCCACTTCGGGGAGACATTTACTTGTCCCCCAATCCCACATCTCTGGGTCTGGACGGGGGGGAGATCGCGGCGCGTTAGATTGAAGATGGCCCCAGATGGTCTCAAGACGGCGCCAGAGAGCCCAAGATGACCTCCAGAGTGGCTCTACATATTACAAGATGGTTCCAGATGGTCCCCAACATGCCTCCAACATGCCTCCAAGGGCGCACCAAGACGCTTCCAAGTGGTCACGTTTGGCTTCTCGCCTTTCGTTTCCGATGAGCTTCTGACGCATCTGGCCCAAGAGAGCTCCAAGAGGGGCCCAAAACGGCCCCAAGAGGGTCCAGGAGCGCCCCAAGAGAGCCCAAGGAGGACCTCAGGGGACGATCGTTTGGGTCCCGACGGGGGGCCGGAATAAGCCCCGCCCCTTCTTGATCAATGGTCTCAAAGATGTCCCCATGATGACCCGCCGGTCACCCAAAGAGGGCTCTGAGAGGACCCCCAGGAGGGCCCCCACAGGGCCCCAAGAAAGCCCAAAGAGCTTTCAAGATGGCCAAGGTAAGCTGCCAAAAGGCCCCCGTATCGAAAAACTCGCGAGCGCATTTTCAAGGTTGACGCCCGGGCCTGCTCAGGCTGATCCCGATCTTCGGCTTGACGGCTGCCCCGCACCGATTTTTGTTCCACGACGTGCTCGCACACGTCCCTGATCAAGGCAACTCGCCTGGACATCGTTTCTGGATGGGCGGGGGCCTGATCTTTTTTGGTGCGCGGGCTCGCGAAACAAGTCGAAAGCCGGGCAAAGCTAGGGCGGGCCGCGCCGAAGCAAAGGAAAACACAGTGAGGAGAGCGGCGCCCGGCTCAAAGCTGGGCTCAGCGCAGCAAAGATGGCGCGGGAGGCATCGCAGACCCGAATTCAGGTCACGCCCACGGAGGTGCCAGCCAGGACGCAAGTGGTGAGAGAGAGAGTGACCACGCGCATAAACAATCTGCAGTAGACCACCCCAGGACGCACATGTCGAAGACGATGTCCAAGAAGCGTCAGAGCGACCACGCACATGAGAAGTCAGCAACAGGGGAGGGACTGGCAGCCACGAACTCCCAGCAGGGGTTCGGATACGCGAAGCGTCAAAAAGCACCATGGAAAACGTGCAAGACCAGCAAATGAGTTCACTACTAGACAGACACGGCTCGGGCGCACGATCCTGTGAGGACGCGTTTAGCAGGTGCAAACCTGCACATAATCCTCATGCTCATAGCTCGCGCCGCTTCTCCTTGCACAGATTTGCATCTCACGGTCGAGTCTCAGTTGAGGCTCAGGAGTGGGAAAGGGGAAATGACGAGGAGGATCCAGACGGCCCCACAGAAAACACAATGACGACGATGTGCCCGAATCTAGCACCCACACACATGTAAAGCCCGCACTCAAGCCCGATCCCGCCAGCCCTCTGGGCGCAGGTGATTCGGGTAGGCTAAGACCTCCAACCTCCGCACTCCGGAGCCGCAGGTAGAAGGTGTCGCTGCCCTTTTCCTCCTCCTCCTCCGAGGCCTGGATGCCGCTGCCAGCAGCGCCGTCCCCTGAGGCTCTTCCGTGACGCGCGCGCGGACCCCCCCAGATGATGGGCTTGGTTTCCACCACCACTACCATAGGTTGGAGGGAGAGGTCCTCCTCCTCCTCTTCTTTCTCCTGATCCTCCTCCTTCTCCAACATATGGTAGTGGTGGTGGAAATCAGTCCCATCACCAGAGGGATCCCTGCCGCGCGGCGCGCGCCCCGGCAGCCGAGCTCAGGCGGCCGCGACTCTCTCCATCGGCCGGCGGCGGGGCCTCGCCGGCGGGCGCCGGGTCTGCGGCCGCTGGCCTGGGCTTCGGCGGCGCGGCCATCGCGAGCGGGCGGCCAGGCCGCCGGGAGGCTGGCCGGCCTCGGCGAGGTCCGCCACGGCCTCGGCGGCCGCGTCGCGCGCCTGGCCCCGCGCCGGAGCTGCCGCGGCGTGCTCCGCGGGCCGGGCCTCGCAATCGGCCCTGCCGCTCGCCTCCGCTGTAACCACGGCCTTCAGGTTCGATGCCTCGTCGGCCTCTGCGTTCCAGGCGGCCACGGGGTCCGCCTGGCGCCCTGAGCCAGCATCTCGCGCGACACTACGGGCACCTCGCTCGACAGGTCGGCGTCCAGGAGAGCCTTCTCTCCACGTGACTGATCATGGAGCTCACCTCTGCCCTGGCCCGCGTCGCCGGCGACCACGCAGCCGCCGGGGCCCGCTTGCCCATGGCTCGCGATGCGAGGCCGCGTCGGCAGCCGTAGCGCTCGCCCGCTGGATGTCCTTTCTGGCTGGAGCCAAAAGGCTACGGAACAGCAGCCTCGGGGTCTATGCAGCCGACATGCTACGGCGTGGGCTGCTTCACCGCCGCGTAGCGCTGAAGCGCGAGAACAGTCCTTCAGGATATCACAACTCTTCCAACTCTTGCTTCATGATATGTCACACGATCGACCCAACCACTGGACGTCTGTTCAAGCCTCAGGACAACCACAGCAACCACGGGATAACCACAATCAACAAGACAATCGTGGGGCAACCACATGGGGCAGCCACATGCGGCAGCCACATGGAAGCCAGACGACACCGTCAGGACGACGGGCAAGCTAAGGACGCGCTCACAAGACAACAACTGGACAACGGACACCCACGGGACAACCACGGGACAACCACCGGACAACCACAGGACAGCCACTGACAGCGGCCGGACAGCCCTGAGCCACCCGCAACGGCCAGCGGGGAGCCAGCTAACAAGAGATGCGCCTTACTATGGTAGGATCTCTCGCTGCTCCGCTCCGCCAGCACGTGCTATACCCCGAAACCAATGCTTCGATGCGGGGATCTACGGTTCGCTCCGATCTCCCCCCCCCCCAACCTCCGACTTCCACCAGTTCAAAGGCAAATCCTGATATGCACCCCCCATTCTTTTATGGAGAGCTGACGGTCTGGCTGTCGGTCTGCACTTCGAGCCGTACGCTACGAAGGCGCATGAAAGCTTCGAAACACTGTGCACCACAGCTCTTTGCGGATGGCAGCTCGCCTCGTTCTTGGTATGCCCGTGACGCCATCGCCTTGAGTCCCACGGCCGCGAGGTCCATAAGAATCACCACCGGGGGCAGCAGCAACATGCACAACAAATGCCGCCAAGAAACGAACACATCGGGCGCTAAACCGGCAACGGAGCGGTCAATGAACCGCAGCGGGTAGCTTACCAGGAAGAGAAATATGACGTACGCAATCATCGCACCAGCAACAGGCGCCAGCGCCGATTTCCGTACTGGCTTCGCCAAGGACATCAGAAGCGTAAGGTTAGCCATCGTGAGCTGCACTGTGAAGGCAGTCAGGCTAGCCTTCCAAAAGGCTGGGCTCTGCTGTTGGCGGTCCTCCTCGTCTGTCAAGCTGTACATGGGCACAACCCATGCAATGATGCCATGCAGGCTTGCAAGAAGCATCCACCCTGTGACAACCCAGAAGTTGAAATACGTACGCTGCGTGCCGAGCTTGTACAACTCGGGGTGCTCAAGGGAGGTGCAGTAGTCATCGTCTTTGTCTGTTGCAAAGACTGGTAGAACTATGAACGTCCATATTGGGCAGTTGACGAGGGATGGTGGATATGCAGGGGCTCCCTGGTAGGAGCTCCCAGGCGCGTAGAGGATGGTGGCCCATGCCAACAGCAGGTTCTTGTACAGGAACCAGCAGATGAAGAGCGCGAGTATGCGGTACGAGTCCCTGCCGTGGCAGAGGAGCAGGCGCCGCAGGCACCTGAAGTCCGAGACGGCCACGTCGCTGGCCTGGACGGCCTGCGTGCCCTCCCTGCCGCGGAGGCCCACCCCAACGTCCGCGGCCTGGATCATCGGGACGTCGTTCGCGCCGTCGCCGATCGCGAGCACCACCGACTGGCGGCGCTCCCGGCTCCGGGACTCCTGGGCCACCAGGCGCACGAGCTGCTCCTTCTGCCGGGGCGACATGCGGCAGGCGACGCAGGCGTTGCAGAGCCTGCCCAGCTGGTAGAGCAGCTCGCGGACCTCCCCGTGTTCCATGGCATGCTGCGCGGCTTGCCCGTCCAGCACCAGTCCGAGGCTGAGCGGCTGGTCGGACGCGCGCAGTGCGCGCGCATTGGCCAATGCCACTCTGAGCAACTGAGTGGTGTGGTCCGCGGAGGCGGTCGCGACGATCCTGACGACGGACGTCCGCTCGTCGAACAGGCCGCAGGCGTGGGAGATCTCCACCGCCGTGGACACCTTGTCCCCCGTGAGGACCCACGCCCTGATACCAGCTCGACGCAGCGCCACCAGCGTGTCCCCAACCCCTTCCTGTAGGCGGTCCTGCAGGTTAAGCAATACAAGTAAATTCTGTCGGAGGTCCGCGCGGATGTTCGTGTGGATCTCCGCAAACAAATTCAATCGATATATACATATACATATACATATATATATATATATACACAAAACAAATTCTTTCGGAGGTCCGCGCGGATGTCTTGGATCGGCGCTGGAGCCCCCTCCCTGGCGCGCAGCGCACTCCGTGGGGAGGCGCCCGCCGGAGATGCCGCCAAACGGGGGCCCCAGTGCCGAGCCGAGAACTCCGCGCGAAGCTCCCGAAAGGGTATGGTTGAGTCGAGGTTCTCCTCCCCCTTCTCTGCGTAATTCAAGCTCTGCGCGGCCCGCTCAGCTTCGACCGGAAGAGGTGCGCTCTCGACACGCGAATCAAAAATGTTTAAGTCGAGCACGTCCCTCTACAGCAGGAATAATCAAGAGTGTCCAGGAAAAATATGCGGACGATGCTTTCAACAATTGTGGGCTATTTTGAAGCATTCTTGGAGTATTTTGGATTTTCGTCCAAAATCCGCCTGTAGGGGGACACGCCTGACCTAAGTCTATGTTCATGGGGAAACCACAAGGTACCAATGCAGCTGCTCCCCAGACCTCTCCTGGGGTGTGTTCGGCCCAGGATTTCGAGAAGCGAACCCAGCGGTGGCGACGAGGGGGGCCTCCCAGGAGTCCCCCAAAAAGAGAAAGGAAAACGAGGGGAGGGTGAAGTAGCGGTATGGGTACCTTGTTCCTCCTCCGAGTCCGTGCACTCTGCTCATCTTGCGAGGAGGAGGAGGAGGAGGAGGAGGAGGAGGAGGAGGAGGAGGAGGAGGAGGAGGAGGGGGCGTTCCCCCGAGTCGCCCAACTCTGCGCGCGCCGCGCCCCCGGCGACGTGCAAGGCACGGCATCCTCTCCGCACGCTCGCGCGGCCCCCCCTCGGAGACGGGCCGTCGCTCTGGGCTCAGACCGCGACGCGCGCAGCGCAGGCATCTCCACGCCCCCGGCGGGCGGCCTGGCCGATGCGGGGGCGGCGATGCATCGGCGGTGCACCAGCAATGCATTGGCGACGTCGGCGCGCAGCAAGTCGGGCTCCACATCGAGCCGCGTCGGCGCTGCATCGGCGATGCATCGGCGATGCGGTGCGGTCCTCCAACCCCAGCTACTCCGACCCCATCTGGGAGGCCTAGAGGTAACGAAACCCGTGGCTCGGAAGGAGCGGCTGGAAACGTAAAGTAGGAAGGCGTTGGAAGCAGATTGGGTTTCCACCCGCCCCCGGAAGAGGAGGCAAGTGGGACAACTGCTCAAACAGAAAGGCGCGTGAAGTATGTTGGGATCTGGATATCCAACAACACCTGCTTTCAACGACCGGCGTGTACCAGTGCTCCCTGGGCCACTCCTGGGGTTCTCTCTGACAAAGATTTCGAGGCGAACCCAGCCGTGACGACGAGGGAAGGGTTGCTGCATGGGTATCCAGAAAGGTAATGTCCCTGGCGGAGATCCCAACCAGATGAGGTTGTGGGTACCGTCGTTGTGAGTATCGCCGTCGGTAGGTCCCAGTGTGGCGCCACGACGCGCGTGACGGGTGTGCCGAAATGTGGCGGGCGGGGCCGCCATACGAGCGCTGCCACTGGGGCCTTAGGTAGAGCTGCCCGTGAGGCCACGAAACGTGTGAGGGATTCGCGGGAATGGAATGTAGAACCGCACACGGGCGCTGGCACTGGGGCCTTAGGTGGAGCTGCCTTAAGGGGCCACGAAACGCGTGAAGCGGAAATGGAAAGTGGAACCGCATGCGGGCGCTAGCACTGGGGCCTTCGGTGGAGCCCCCTATGTGGCCATGAAACAAATGAAGGATGCACCGAAATAAGAGTGGAACCTCAATCGGGCGCTGCCGGTGGGGCCTTCGGTGGAGCTCCTTGTGGGGCCACGAAACACGGGAGCGGGTCGCCAAAATAGGGCTGAAACCGCATGCGGACGCTGCCGCTGAGGCCTTCGAAGGAGCTCCCCATGGGGCCACGAAACTTGTCAGGGGTTCGCCGGAACGGAAGGTGAAATCGCATGCGGGCGCTGCCACTGGGGTCTTCGGTGGAGCTCCTTATGGAACCAAGAAGCGAGTGAGTGGTGCACCGAAATGGAGGGTAGAACCGCATATGGGCGCTGCCGCTGAGGCCTTCGGTGGAGCTCCCTACGAGGCCACGCAACGTGTTATGGGTTCGCCGAAAAACGGGTGGAAGCGCATGCCGGCGCTGCAACTGGGGTATTCGGTGGATCTCCCTGGTCACGAAACGTGTCGGAGGTTCGCCGAAATGGAAGGTGGAACCGCATGCGGGCGCTGCCACTGGGGTCTTCGGTGGAGCTCCCCTTGGCGAAGGGTGTGCCGAAGTGGGGGTGGAACCGCATGCTGGCGCTGCCACTGGTGCCTTCGGTGGAGCTCCCTGTGGGGCCACGAAACGTGTGAGGGTTGCACACAAATGGAAGGTGGAAATGCATGCGGGCGCTGCCAGTGGGGCCTCCGGTGGGGCTACCCATGGGGCCACGAAATGTGTGATGGTTCGCCGGAATGGGAGTGGAACCGCATGCGGGCGCTGCCACTGGTTCTTTCGGTGGAGCTCCCTTTGAGGGGTGCACCGAAATGGAGGGTGGAACCGCATACGGACGCTGCCACTGGGGTCTTCGGTGGAGCTCCCTATGGGGCCACGGAACTTGTGAGGGGTTCGCCGAAATGGAAGGTGGAACCTCATGCTGGCGCTGCCACTGGGGTCTTCGGTGGAGCTCCCCTATCAGGCCACGAAACGTGTGAGAGGTTCGCCGACATGGAAGGTGGAACCGCATGCGGGCGCTGCCAGTGGGGCCTTCGGTAGAGCTCCCCAGGGGGCCACGAAACGTGTGAGGGGTGCACCGACATGGAGGTGGAACTGCATGCGGGCGCTGTCACTGGGGACTTAGGTGGAGCTTCCTATGGGGCAGTGTGAGAGTGTGCCGAAACAGAGACATGCGGAGGGCAGAAGCAGGGATGGGAAGACGGAGGGAGGGGAGGGGGAGGGGGAGAGGTGGGAGACGCGGGGCGCTGTCTCTTCAAAACGAAGACCCAACACCACAGGATGGTTCGGAAAAAAAGGATAAGTATAAACTGTTGGAGGTCCGCGCAGATTTCTTGGATCGGCACTGGATACCCAAACGTGGCGCGCGGAGCGCCGGAAATCTATGTTTACGCAATGCTTTGCTCTTCGGGCATCGCCTCCTCATCCGAGACCTGGCCGAGTCGAACACCGAGACACAGTTTTAGAAGTGCCCCTGGCCCCAGGTGCCCACAGGATCTCCACAGAGGCCCCCTGGGCCTCCAGAGCAGCCCTCGCGAGGCCGAGGGAGCCCCAGGGGCTCCAGGATGGAGCGAAAACCCGGGGGCGCCCCCGAGGCCGGGGGGCACCTTAAGAGCCACCCAACCGAGCCACCGCGGCGCCCGCGCAGACGTGCACGTCGGGGTGCCAGCGCTGCCGCTGCGCAAGAGGTCGAGCCGAGCTCCGGCCGCCCCGAGTTCGCGGACCGCCGCCGCCCACGGCGACAGGCCACGGGGGAGCGCCAGGAGCGGCTCGGCAGGAAGACAGCCAGCGTGATACCACGAGGAGCGGAGGGAAAGACAAAGCCAGGACGAGGGGAAAGTTGGACGAGGAGAATCGGAAAATCTCTGAGACCCGGCGGTTCTGGAGAACGTATCGAGCATGCTCAGCGGCTGTCCGTTCCGGAACGCTCTTGATGGGCCTGTGTTCCACCACCACCACCACCTTAAGTTGGATGGGGAGGGGGTCCTCCTCCTCCTCCTCCTCCTCCTCCTCCTCCTCCTCCTCCTCCTCCTCCTTATTATCCTTATCCTTATCCTCCTCGTCCTCCTCTTCGTCCTCCTCCTCCTCCTCCTCCTCCTCCTCCTCCTCTCCTCCTCCTCCTTATTATCCTTATCCTTATCCTCCTCGTCCTCCTCCTCCTCCTCCTCCTCCTCCTCCTCCTCCTCCTCCTCCTCCTCCTCCTCCTCCCCGTCTTCCCCCCTCCAACTTATGGTGGTGGTGGAAAACAAACCCATCAGCTCTGGATCGGATGGATCCTCGGCGCCTCTGGCCACGCCGAGCGCCTTGGCCACGAAGGCGGCCCCCCGGCGCAGTTCCGAGGCATGGCCTGGAAGCACCAGGGCCTCGCCCGAGCCCAACATGGCCTCGTCCTCCGGCATCGGATCTCAGGAGCCCCTGTGTAGCATTCCAGGAAGCATCGTGAGGAACCAAACTCTATATATACAGACGCTTCTTCCGGCCCCGCATGGACACTCGCACAAGAAAGCGGACCCTGGTGTATGCGGGATCCTGGTGTATATAGTTTGCCTTGTTTCCCCGGTAAAACGGGGGAACAAGTATACACCACACCACCCCGACGTCGCCCCCGATCCTCAACAAAATCCTGGGATTGAAAAACAGCCCGCCACTGGTAATGTATACGTTCCAGATTCCGATATCGGAGGCCCTTGAGCTCTTCGAAAGCTCGGGACGCATCATGATGCATGACTCCCTGCTCTGGCGCGCTCCGAGCGTGCCAGGGGAGCACTCCGCGCGGACCTCCAGAAGTTCATATGTATGAAGGTGGTTATTGATATTCTTCTTCTTCTTCGAGGACCCCAGGGTCTTCCCCCGGGACCTGTTGTTCGTCCGGAGTAGTGTTTGACAGTCCTCGGGCCAGGGAATGGCCCCCGAAGGCCGAAAACGAGGGAAAAGCTCGGGACCGTTTCCCGCAGAAGTTGGGGAGGAGCACGCCGCTCCTCCACGGCTGTCACGCCGACCAGCTCCAGGTTGACCTCCACAGCGAGCGCCAGCGCCGCCAGCTTCGCCTCGCGCCCCCTCATGCTGGCGTCGGCCCTTGCCCACCTGCGCCGCCACCCCGCGTAGGTTGCCTCCGGGCGGCGAGCCCGGCGGCCCTCGGCCCCCAGCGCTTCCAGGCGCTTCCCTCGGAGATCTGGCCGGGAGGCGGGCCCGAACTCCGACGACGTGATTTTTGTCAGAACGTGGACCCCTGGAGGTCTGCACCCCTACAGGGCAGTTTTTTTTAATACATGGGATTGTTAAACAGTATCTTATTTTTTCATACATGATTAATTAATGAATACATGTATGCATGAACTCATCGTTGTTTTTAATACTAAATCCCTGCATTGTTATTACATGATCCGCACGCGTAGCATGTATTAAAAACGGCACTGTACCCCGGGGGCCAGATTCCCATCCCGCTCGACTCGTTCTGGTTGGCAGTCCCAGGGCCTGGAGAGGGCCCCCACCAGTCGAAAATGGCCGGCAGGGAACGGAGGTGGGGGGATGCCTGCGTCCGACATGCGAAATGTTCGGCGGCTGGGTGGGGGTCCACGGAGGGGTGGGGGGCCTCCGGTCTCGCCGGCGGTCGCCTGCACACGAGAGTGACCCTAGGCAAGAGCTGCCTTGCGCGAGCGGCTTCGGGGGGCCGTGGGGGAGGGCCAGACCCACGCGCGCAAGCTACCGCCAGGGGGGACCCCCGTGGGCCAGAGGTGATGCGCTGCGATGCGATGCGATGCGACCACCGTTGCGGACAGTGTGCGGGCCTGGCCCAGCCCAGGTGGGTGAGGCCGTGGCCTCGCGAATCTGGAGTCTGGTTACGCGTAATGCGAGACGCATGGGAAGTTGGGAGGCCAGGAGGAGGAGAGGACCCGTTGCCAGAGGTCACTCCGGCGAAGGGCCAACCGTAAGCATAGCCGAAGCGAGGCCTCGGGCACGCGGCCGCGGCCCAGTACCAGCGTCCGCAGGCCGCGCCGCGCGAAGCCCTCCAGCGCCTGGCGGGTCGCGGTCGGCAGGGGCCTCGCGAGCAGCGGCTCCACGGCGCTGTCCGCGCCCTTCGTGAGCACCGTGGCGCCGCCACGCTCGTGGTCCTGAGCATCGCTTGACCGATCCATGGATTCGACATGCTCGCGTCGTCGAACAAGAGCACGGCGCGTGGCTTCTGGCCGTTGCCGGCATCTGGAGGGGCCCTCGGCGGGCCCCAGGACCAGCATACAACGACTCAGGGCGCAAAGCGCGCCCCGGGGAGAGCGATGGGGATTTCTGGGCCCTCCTTGTCCTCCTCCTCCTCCTCCTCCTCCTCCTCCTCCTCCTCCTCCTCCTTCTCCTCCTCCTCCTCCTGTAAAAGATCAGCACGGCGGATCTCAAGATGTCTACACCCACCGACGTGGCCTTTGCCCGACTGGCCGACTTACCTGTCCAGCTGGGAATCTGTGCCTGCTCATTCGGGCTTCGCGCGGCACCTATCCCCACCTAGGAGGGTGGGCCAGTGGGGCTGAGACACCATGGCCCAGTGGGGATGGGGACAGTGGTTGCGTGATAAGCGAACCCTAAGCCAACAAAAGCATGACTGCGCATGCTGGACATAAGTTGACAATTCTCTGTCGCGACGGTCATTTACGAGCTACGAGCCACGCCTACATCGCAAACCCGGGGGAGGGGCTGGGAAGGGACATGCCACCCCATGACAAAAACGTTGCCCCGATTTGTGGCCGCCGCGATCGCCGCGGCGATCCCCAAAACTGGCCTGGAGGTTGGGCTCAGAGCTAGACATAACGCAACGAGATAGGTTTGAACAGGCTGAGGTCCGGGCACACCACGCTCATCCGCCGTCGATCGGACGTGAAGGCGAGCACCTCCGCCACCCGCGCGCAGCGGGCCCCGCCCGGCGTCTGGAGCCGCAGCAGCGAGCCCGTACCCGTCTCCTCGCGCGAGGAGAGCACGAAGCCGAGGTCGGCGGCGGCCTGCACCAGAGCGACCTCGTCCGGGGACTCGCCCTGGTAGTGCCCGTCCGAGCTCAGCTGCACCGTGTGGCAGGTGGCGAGCGTCTCGAAGAATGCCGCCGCGACGCCGTCTAGGGCCAGGGCCCCGCCCTTGGTAACGAGCTGGGCCTCCAGCGCCGTCATCGGGGCCCCGCTCCCGATGCAGCACGCCGCGAAGCGCATGTCGTTCTGCGTGAGCGTGCCAGTCTTGTCGCTGAAGACATAGTCGACCTGGCCGAGCTCCTCGATGAGGTCCGACGTCCGGACCTCCACGGGCTCGCGGGACTGGAGCCCGTGCATCTCCTCGTCTTTGTGAAGTCCCCTCACCAGCGCCAGCTGCAGGACCTCGTAATTGACGTACATCGTCAGGGGCACTACAGGGTAAAGGATTATCAAATACTGGGCAAGTCGTACGATCATCTGGCCGAAGTCGAACGTATCCTCGAGGGCGAACTGCTCTAAGATGGACCAGGCCGTGCTCAGAGCGACTATGCCCACGAGCGTGCAAACGATGAAATAGTTCAGCTTCCGCTGCATGTAAGACACCTTCGACTGGACCGCGATGGCGTTGAGGCGGGCCTTCGTCTGGCCGCCCACGTAGCACACGGCCCCCACGGCCCAGTCTGTGGCGTCCACCCTGCTTCCCCGCAGCAGGAAGCTGCCGCAGTCCACCCGCTGCACCGCATCGCCCACCATGATGGAGCAGCCGACGGTGGAGAGGTCCACGCACGGGGCCTGAAGCCGGACCAGCGCGCGCGCCTCCAGCACGCAGGCAGCGGCCGCCTCCGCGGTGCCTCCCGCCATGGCCCCGCAGCTCCTGAGGGCCCCTGGCACCGTCCGCTGCTTGAGGTGCCTCTCCCCGTCCAGGGACGACGTCGACACGTAGCAGGTGCCCTGGGTGCCGCTGCACGCCACCAGCAACAAGTCTGCGGGCACCATCTGGCCGCCGCGCAGCAGCAGGACGTCCCCCAGCCGGCAGTCCTGGCGCTCGACCTCACAGAACTGCGGCGGATCGCCCCCGTGGTCCGTGGAGAGACGCTGCGTGGGCCACGAGTTCGACGCCAGGTCGTCCCGCTGCCTGCCGAGGTCGTCGCTCAGCTCGCGCCCGGAGGTCCACAGCAGTATGATGGACAGGATCGTCAGGATCAGGCCAGGCGCCTGCGGCGAATCGTCGCCCAGCGCCGCGGCCAGGACGCCGATGAGCAGCGCCCACGCGTTCGCAGCGCGCCGGAGCTGCAGCAGCAGCGACTTGGGCAGCCAGCTGAGCAGCGTGAAGCGGGCGGTGCGCACCGCGTTCGTGCGGGCGGCGGCGGCGGGCGGCCACACCTGGGCCCCGCCGGCCGCCAGGAGCACCTCGTGGGCCCAGTCCTCCGGCTCCCAGCTCGGGCCCCCGGGCTCCGCGGCGAGCCCGTCGGACTCGCAGGACGCCGCGGACGCCACGGGCTGCACCGCGGGCTCGTCCTCCGCCCGGGCGTGAGGGGAGGGAGGAGGGAGGGAGGAGGGAGAGAGGAGGGAGGGAGGGAGGGGGGAGGAGGGAGGGAAGGGAGAGGGAGGAGGGAGAAGGGAGGAGGAGGGAAGGGGGAGGGAGGGAGGAGGGAACCCACGGGCCCCGTGTGCCCGGAGCTGCGGCCCCCTGAGGGGCCCGTGCCGGGGGCCTCGGGGCCCCCGCAGATCGGCGCAGCGCCGGGCCCTTCTTCTGGAAGGCCTGGAAATGGGCACCAACACCAATTCGGGGGTTTGCCTCCACAGGGGGAAGACGATCCCAGATTTCGGTGTTGGTGGAAATTTTTCGACCACCTGGAAGCCAGAGTATTACCACCATCACCGAGATCGGGATCTTCTTCCCGCGGTGGAGGCACGCCGCCGAGTTGGTGTCTACCTCTAGGCCTGCGATCTTGGGGGCGCCAGACACGGTGCGGCGTCGGGGCGCGCGGCAACCTCGAGATCCCCGAAAACCTCCCCGCACGGTCCGTCACCACACCTCTTCCGAGGACCTCGAAGGCCCCAGCCGCCCGAGGCGTCCTCGGAGAACGACCCACGTCTCAGAACCGTGCGGCCACTCCGAATCTGCACTGGCTCACCACACGGTGTGTGTGGTCACCGCACCGTCCAGGGGCCCCCGAGGCTCCCGCCTCCTGGTGCGGTCAGGAGCCCCAGGGCCCCAGAACCGGTCCCTACTGACCGTCGGCGGCGGCCTGGGCCCGCAGCGGGGGTCAGTGCCAGAGTGTGCCCAGGTCGCCCTCGTGCGCGGGTGCGGGGCGGGCAGGAATAGGGGGGGGAGGGGTCGGGGGCGACAGGGAGGAGGCGGAAGGGATCCAATAACCGTGGGAAGCAATTATCGAGCCCCCCTCCCCTCTGCGTTATCCGCGGCACTCATTGGCACTGAATCAATTCCAGAGGGGGGGAACGCCGGGCGATATCGTTGGCACCACTTCGTATTAATGAGTTCGATAATTCCGCCAGCGGGTGGGGGGCGCTGGGAGTAAGAGGAGTAAGACAGCACAGGTCTCTGGTGGAGTACTACTGGGATTCCCTTTCAACCATATAGACAACCGATTGAAATCCGATTGAGACCTTGCCGGGTCCGTGTAGCAACCCTCTTGGGCCCAGATTGGAATCCGATTGGGACATTGCTGGAATCCTGTAAAGATCTAGGAGGGATGATCCCGCACTCAGGGGTGGGATATATCACTTCCAGGGGCGGCATAAGCGATCTCTCTCTCTCTCTCTCTTTCTCTCTCTCTCGATCTATATATATATGTATACACGTACATCTGCATATACATATACACAAGCATGTGTATACATCTATGAAAGCACACGTACGTACACATACTAGAACCACGCGCGCGATTCGCGCGCGCATAGGCACGCACCTCACGCGGATCGTGCCCCGCAAATAGATGATGCATTTGCGGCACCAGAGTGAAGCTTCAGAACGTCACCCCGCTCATTTCGGCACACCTCTCACACGGATCGTGGCCCGCAGGATACGCATCTCGCACCGCTACTTCGGCACACCTCTCACACGGATCGTGGCCCACAGGGGTCTCCACCTGAGGCCCCAAAGGCAAGGTTCGCATGCATTGCGCCCCCCCTGGCCGTTGCTGTTGCTGTACACCCCATCACGCGGATCGTGCCCACAAGGAGCGCCACCGAAAAGCCCAGAGACAAGGCTCGTGCACCGCTCCCCGTCCCATGTCGGCAGACCCGTCACATGGACCGTGCCCCAGAAGGAGCTCCACCTATGACACCAATGGGCGGCTTCGCATGGCGTCTCCCCGCACATTTCGGAGCATGCCTCGCACGGGTCGTGCCTGGAGGAGGTCCACGTGTGGCCTCAATAGAGGCGCTGGCACTGGGGCATCCGAATTGTTCGGCACACCCTTCACGCGGATCGTGCCCTGCAAGAAATGCAAGAATTCAGCAAACCCGTGCACGCGTGCTCCGCAGCAGCCATCTTTCCGCATTGCCCCGCGACGCGCAGTGTATGAAGAGAGAGGGTGCGGTGGGGACGTCGGCAGCCTGCGAGACTCTGGAGAAGCCCACCGCAGGCGCCAAAGTTTCATTATTTATAACACGAGCCCGCCGCAGGCGCTGATTTTTTCGTTAAACCAATGTGGGTAGGTCGCGGGTGGGTCGCAAAGGGGTCGCGGTTGGGTCGCGGGTGGGTCGCGGGTGGGTCGCTGTTGGGTCGCGGCGCGGGTCGCGGGTGGGTCGCGGGTGGGTCGCGGGGTGGGTCGCGGGTGGGTCGCAAGTGGGTCGCGGAAGGGTCGCGGGTGGGTCGCGGATGGGTCGCGGGTGGGTCGCGGGTGGGTCGCGGGGTAGGTCGCGGCTGGGTCGCGGGTGGGTCGCGGGTGGGTCGCGGGTGGGTCGGGGGTGGGTCGCGGGGCGGGTCGCTGGGTGGGTCGCAGGGTGGATCGCGGGGTGGGTCGCGGGGTGGGTCGCGGGTGGGTCGCGGGTGGGACGGCGACAGCAAACAAACAAACAAACAAACACACAAACAACAACAACAACAACAACAACAACAACAACAACAACAACAACAACAACACAACAACAACAACCACGACAACAACGACAACAACAACAACAACAACAACAACAACAACAACAACAACAATAACAACAACAACAACAGCAGCAGCAACAGCAACAGCAACAGCAACAACAACAGCAACAACGACGCAACAAGCGAAATCCTCACCACGGATCCCCACTTCAGCCTCGCACCCAGGAACAGTGAATGATCGTTCGGCCCCTCACTCTGATATGTTTATATATGCATATATATACATATTTACATGTTCATTCATATACATATATAAAATATGTTTCTATATATGTATACATCGATGCACACATATATCTATTTATACACATATATATATATATATACATATCACGTCTGTGGAGGGTTCTCCAGAGCAGCACTAGGAAACGGGCGCGCTCTCAGGTTCCTGGAAGGCCCTCCAGGAACGTGAAGGCGCGCCCGCGTGGGAGCCCTCGTGGAGGCTTCTGTGTGCCGTTGGTGGGCGTCCTGCGGCCGTTTTGGAACCCTGCGGGCCTTCTTTACAACCCTGTTGACGTGTCCAAGCTCATTTGAAGAGCCGCCTGCAGCGCTGTTAGACGCTCTTGGGCGCCTCTTGGGCCGGTTCGGCGCCTCCTTGGGGCGCATTGGGGCCCTCGTGCACGCCTCGTGCGCCGTCTCCGAGCGTCGGGAAGAGCAGGCGACCACTGGAAAATCAATGAAAAACCTATAGTGAACCCACCTAGTAAGGATGCGCGGTAAGGGTGCAAGCGCCTTGGAAAGCCATGTTGACATGTTTCGAGTGGGGCTGGCCAGCGAAAGTTGTGAGGGATGGGCCTAGCTGCAAGGGCAACCTTGGAAAACTCGGTCATCCTTACTATGAGTGTTTTTGTCTACTGGGGCTGTTTCGGAAAGCAGTTTACAGCCCTCTTGGGCAGTCTTGGATGCCTCGTGGGCCGCATCGAAGCGATGGTGGGCGTGCTGGGGCCGGTTTGGAGCCCTGTGGGCATCCTTGAGGACCCCTGTGGCGTGTCGAAGCTCATGTGGAGAGCCACATGCAGCCCGCTTGGGCGATTCTGGGCGCCTCGTGGGCCGTCCTGGCGCCCGCTTGGGGTGTCTTGGAGCCCTCTTGGGCGCCTCTTGCGCCGTCTCTGCGCATCGATCCCCGGAGCAGGCGACCACACGACAATCCTTGAAAAACCCTAGGGGAATCAATGATTGTCGCCCCATGCGCCTCGGAGGCTACCTGAGCCCGCATCGCAGCAATAATGAACGTACTGGGGCCGTTTGGGAGCCCTGAGGGTCTCGTTTAGGGCTCCTGTGGCGTGTCCCAGCTCACTTGGAGCGCCACCGAGAGCCCTCAGAGGCGATTCTGGGCGCCGCTTGGGCCATCTTGGGCCCTCCTGTAGTGTCTTAGGCCCTCCTGGGCGCCTCTTGTGCCGTCACCGGACGTTGGGCAGCGGAGCAGGCGACCACACGAGAATCCTTGGGAAACCTGCGGAAAATCACTGAGTTTCGCCTCTGGGGCCTCTCTCGTGGATCAGGTGGAAGCTCTCTTGGGAAGACTTGGAGACCCCGCGAGCCGTCTCGAAGCAATGGTCGGCGTGCTGGGCGCCGACCATTGCTTCGAGGCCTCCGAGGCCGCCGAGGCCCCGCCATTGGCCGAGTCCGCCCCCCGCCCTGCGCCCGCCCTGCGCCCGCCCTGCCGCCCCGCCCCCCCCCCCGGCCGCCCGCCGCCGCCCCACCCGCCGCCGCCAGGCCTGCCCCGCCGCGGGGGCGAGGAGGGCGCGCGCCGAGGCGCGGGGAGGGCTCCCCCCCCCCCTCGGGCGCGAGGCGGCACTGGGGGCGCCCCCCGGGAAGTCCCGGCCCGTCCCCCGGGGCCAGCGCCTCATCCCGAGTCCTCTTTGGACGGTCCTGGGTTGTGTTGCATCCTCGGGGGGCCTTGTGTCTGTCCCCCCCTCGGCCCTGTCCGCGTCGCATCGGCGTCGAAGCCATCTCGGACTCGTCGGATCCGTGTCGAGCCCGTGTCGAATCCGCGTCGAATCCACGCCAGCTCCGCGTCGAGTCCACGTCGAGCCCGCGTGGGGCACGAGAAAAGGAACGACTTTTGGGGGGCGGGCGGGCCCCCCCGAAAATGCCACGTGCGGGGCGGGGACTTGTCCACATCCGCCGCCTGGGAACCGACGCCCTGGCGCCTCAGCGGGCGGTGGATACGGATATATTTGGGCTTTGGCCCCCGGAGGCCCGAATATATCCGTATCCACCGCCTGCCGAGGTCCCCCAAAAACTGATCCTCCAGGCGGTGGTGATGTAAAAATGCCCGCCTTGGACAGCGTGACCTGAGGAGGGAGGAGAGAGGAGAAAGGAGGGAGGAGGGAGGAGGGAGGAGGGAGGAGGGAGGGAGGGGAGGAGGGAGGAGGGAGGAGGGAGGGAGGGAGGAGGGAGGGAGGTAGGGAGGGAGGGAGGGGGAGGAGGGGAGGGGAGGGAGAGGAGGGAGAGGGAGGAGGGAGGAGGGAGGAGGAGGGGAGGGAGGGAGGGAGGGAGGGGCGGGAGGAGGGAGGGAGGAGGGAGGGAGGAGGAGGAGGAGGAGGAGGAGGGAGGAGGAGGCAGGAGGGAGGAGGGAGGAGGGAGGAGGGAGGAGGGAGGAGGGAGGCAGGGAGGGAGGGAGGGAGGGAGGGAGGGAGGGAGGGGACGAGGAGGAGGAGGAGGAGGAGGAGGAGGAGGAGGAGGGGGAGGAGGAGAAGGAGGAGGAGGAGGACGTGGGCCCCACGGGGAGCGAAGCCTGCGGGAGCCTCCCGACGTGACTCCCTCGCCACGGCGCGAGCACGCCACGGGGGAGGAGGGCCCCTCGCTCGGGGAGCCCACACGGGACGCACGCGCCCAGCTGTGCACATGGGCACGGCCCCTCGACCCGCGAGACCGGCCGCGTGACACGAACATTCGCGCCAGGCGAACTCTCGAAACCAGCGTGGATTCGTGTACGTGTGCGTCCCTCTTTCGCTCCCGCTCTCTGCAGCGGCACTCCCCCACCCCCCCGCCGCAGGCAGAAGAGCCCAGCAGCGAATCGACGAGCCGCATCGGCGGAAATCGGCGCAACCAAGTCGGGAGACGCCGAGTCGGCAAAAATCGGCAGGCCAGCACGGCCTCCATGGAGACCTCGGACTCCGCGGAATCGGGTCGGAAGCGGAAGCCATCGAAGCCGGATCGAATCGCATCGGATGAGCCGAGAGGAGCCCTGCCGCATGGGAGCGGCGGCGGCGGGTCCTCCTCGGGCGGGCCCTCCTCAGCGCCCGAGGCCGCCAGACTCGAGGGCGGCGACGGCGGCGGCGGGAGCTCCGGCAGCGGCGGCGCCGGCCCGCGCGAGGCGGCCAGCAGCGCGGGGAGGCAGGTGGCCTCCGGCCTGGGATGGGCTCAAAGGTTGTCTGTCCAGGACATCCTGTGGTGTTGGGTCCTCGTTTGGAAGGGACAGCGCCCCGCGTCCCTCCTTTCCTCCTCCTCCTCCTCCTCCTCCTCCTCCCCTCCCTCCTCCCATCCTTGCCTCTGCCATCCGCACGTCTCTGTTTCGTGTTTCGGCATACCCCTCACATGTTTTGTGGCCCCATAGGGAGCTCCACCGAAGGCCCCAGTGGCTGCGTTCGCATGCGATCGCCGCACCCATTTCGGCACACCCCTCACACACTTTGCGGCCCCATAAAGAGCTCCACGAGGGCCCCAGCAGCTGCGTTCGCGTGCGCCCGCCGCGCCGACTTCGGCACACCCTCACCCGCTCCGTGGACCCACAGGGAGCTCCACCGAAGGCCCCAGTGGCTCCACTCGCGTGCGCCCGCCGCACCCATTTCGGCACATTCCTCACACGCTCCGTGGCCCCTATGAGGAGCTCCGCAGAAAGCCCCAGCGGCTACGATTGCGAGCTCCCGCCGCGCCCACATCGGCAGACCCACCACACGCTTCGTGGCCCCATGGGGAGCTCCGCCGAGTGCCCCAGCGGCTGCGTTCGCATGCGCCCGCCGCGCCCATTTCGGCACACCGCTCACACAGTTGTTCGTGGCCACATAGAGAGCTCCACCGAAGGCCCCAGTAGCGGCGTTCGCATGCGTCCGCTCCGCCCATTTTTGGCTCACCACCCACGCGTTGCGTGACCCCACAGGGAGCGCCACCGAAGGCTCCAGTGGCTGCGTTGCATGCGCCCGCACCGCCCATTTCGTTACATCCCTAATTTGTTTCGCGGCCCCATAGGGAGCTCTACCGAAGGCCCCAGTAGCGGTGTCCGCATGCGTACGCCCCACACATTTCGGCATTATCCTCACACGTTTCGTGGCCCCAAAGGAAACTCCACTGATGACCCCCAATGGCGGTGTTCGCATGCGCTCACCGCGCCCACCCTGGTACATTCCTCACACGTGTCATGGCCCCATAGGGAGCTCCACTGAAGATGATACTCAAAAGTGTGCAACTCACACATGCATTTGGTTGGGTCCTTCGCCAGGTGCACTTCCCCTGGCACAAACAACTGAACTCCAGCTCCATTCTGCACAACCTCAGCTGCCATGCGATTCAAAGAGTCGCCAGGCAAACTGGGAGGGTCTCAAAGATCAGTGCCTCCCAGATGGGGTCCGAGTAGATGGAGTCGGAGGATCGCGCCGCATCGCCGATGCATCAGCGAGGCGGCTCGATCTGGATCCCGTCTTTCTCCACGAGGACGTCGCCGATGCATCGCCGATGTATCGCCACTGCATCGCCGATGCTATGGCGATGCACTGGCGATGCGGCGCGATCCTCCGATCCCATCTTCTCGGACCCCATCCTGATGGCCTCGAACAAGAAATCACAGATGTCTGGCGATCTGATGTGTTCAATCCACGTTTGCTTTTCCTCGGCCTCGCGAGCGGGCCCCAGGGCCATCATTTTTCGCATTTCGCATTTCGCAATCATAACAGCCTCCACGGCGCGCGCGCCGGCGACCCCCGACGCGCGTTCCGCGGACGCTGCGGCTCAGAGCTGCCCGGCGTGAGCAAGTCGGAGTCGTGCAGCCGACGGGGGACAGGAGGTGGTGTCACACACCCCTTCCCCCCCCTGCTGGTACCAGGGCAAGCAGGGGCAGGCCGCCCGCAACTAGTCGCTCCTCCCGCGGACACGGGAGGCGCCACTCGCCGGAGCTACGGGCCGCCTCACTATCTCCACAGGCCTGCCGACGCCCGCTCCCCCCCCACCAGGAAGCCCCGCTTCCCCTGGCCATAAGGCCAGGTGAGGCTGGTGGGCGACCCTGGGGACGACGAGTGGGCCCCCGCAGACACCTCGGAGGGCACACCAGCGGACCAGGCGCTGCGCCAGCGGGCTGGGCACCGGGAGCCAAGCGACCTTACTGCGGGACGCCCGCGGTGAAACTGTGCACGAGGGGAGAGGGAGGGGCGCACGAGAGGGGGAGAGGGCCCCGCGAGCACCGCGGGCAGCCCCAAGCCCAAAAGGCATGGGAACGAACGAAACATGGCCCATCCCGACTGCGAGGTGGAGGGGCGCCTTGCTGCAAGCACAAGAACGCGAGAGCGGGAGGGGGACAAGGACAAGGGGAAAGACAAACACAAAGTAACACGCGGAGGGATCCCCCCTCACCGGAGTAGCCGAGCGGCGCGCATCACGACTGTGAAGCACGGGGAGCGTCAGACCTGGCGGTGCTGTCGGGCGGTCCGAGCGGCAGCGGGATGCCCCGCCACCTACCCCGAGTCAGGAGAAGAGGAGGAAGAGGAGGAAGAGGACGACGAGGAGGAGAAGGAACACGGAGCACACCTGCGAATGGCTCTACCTGCAAAGCCCACGTGTTGGATACGCGTGATGGAGCACGTTGTGTCGCCGAACAAGAGCTGGAGCAGCAAATCTGGCGCCGGATCCCCTGGAAAAAGCTCCCGGCGTTCCCGGTCGAGCACGGGGCAAGCACTTAGCGCGTGACGCACCGAAACCCTGTGGCTTCCGCAGGCTCTGCACCGGCGCAGGTGCATGGGGTGCTCCTCACCCCCCATGACCGACAGGGGCCACTTGCCCGTCATTCGGGCCACAGCCCAAAGGCGGTAGTGGGACCAGAAGGACGGCCCTGGCTCCCCGGCCAACAAGTCTAGGTCCAGTGGCGATGGGAAGGTGCACAAAGCGGCAAAAGAGCGATTAAAGGGTGCCAAAATTGGCATGGCAGCCTTCGCGTATGCTGCGCGGTCATACCGCAAGAGAGACGGACGCAGCACCTCGAGCCGGTACGACTTGAGGATTGCTTTCCTAGCGGCGGACGACACACGCGCCTCGTTCAGCAGGGCGGCGGGGAATAAGGGATGCCCCTCGAGGTCCGGCGGGGGCGGGGCCAGGCGCTGGGCCAGAGCGACCACTGCCGACTCCCACGTGGGGGTGGCCAAAGACCGAGCCGCCCGCAGCATGAGGGCACCTTGGTGGTCCCCCGGCAGGACCATGAGCCGTGCTCGTGCCATCAGCGCCTTCTCTAAAAATCTCGTCCCCAGGCGCATTGGCCAGCCACATTGGGCGACGACCACGGCATGGCGAATCGGCGGTCCCTTGTGGCACCCCAAAAGGCGACGGCCCCAAGTCACCTGCAACTTGTTCATGGTTGATTCCGCGCCGGGCACGGCGGCCAGGAGCGGGGCAGCGTACAAAACCACAGATTCAACTCGGGCTGGGACCTGCGCCGCAGCCACTGGGATGGAGAAGCCCCCAGACTCTGCCGCATACAACAGCTTGGAGAAGCAGCTATGCCCGACGGCGACGATTTCACGGAGGAAGGGGTAAAACGTCAGGTCGGAATCCACCAAAATTCCCAGGAGGACCTTGCGGTCTACTTCTGGGCAGCCGGCGAGACTGGGGGGGGGCGCACCCAGGACTGGAAGAACGCACGTCTTGGATTTCTCACGGGAGAAAAACGACTTGAAAGTGCGCGCGTACCTACTGCACGCGGATTCGTCCTCAGGAGACAGGACGGCGCGCACCGCCCCTATAGATGGGCAAGCTACCGTGATGTCGTCGACAAACTGGGCAGGCGGCATGTGCAATTCACCCGCGAGCTCCACCACCGCGGCTCTGTCCGCTAGGGCGGGGACGGCACTGAGCCGGGCGGCTAACGCGGCTTCGGCGCGCGGCCATGGCGGGGATTCGGTCGCCGCCACCCGTAGCACTTCATGCAACATTGCCGCCGCGGGAAAGGCCCGGTCAGGCATTGCCGCCTCGGTGGCTGGGGGGTTAGCCTCGCCCGCAGCAGTCATGGCTTGTCTAGCCAGGCGCGGGACCACGGTGGCGCACCCCCCGGGGACTGCGGCGGGGCAATCACATTCAGATCGGGGAGGGGCAACTTCTTCCGGGAACGCGGTCCGGACCTCTGAGGCCGCGGACTGAAACAATCGGATCGGCGAAAGTCTGGATACACCGAGCCGTCTGGCCAGCCGAGGAGCTCGGTGTAGAGGCGCCGCAGACTTCCCAGCCCGTGGCGCCGACGCGTATACCTCGAACGAGCCCCGCGAGCTCCTCCGCTCCTTGGCCGACCCTGGGATCCGACGATCTCAAGGATCGCCGCGTCGCGAAAAACCTGATCGGACAAGAACGGGAAGCGCCGCTTGAGTCTAAGGGGCGCATCGGGCGAAGAAGCAGAAGAGGAGGGCGAGGGCAACGAGGAGTCGAGGACGAGGGCGACGTGGCGAGCGTGAGGATAGCGGGGAGGAGCACGAGGACCACGAGGAGGAGGAACCGCCACACCGCGACAAACTCCTGGCCGAAGCGCTGGGCCCCGGCCTGCGGCTGCACGCCTCGAGCCCCGGGTCGCGAGCCGTGGCGGTCGCGGGGCCCGGGGCCGGGCGAGGGCGCCCCGGGCGGCAGGACACGGCGACGCCCGGGCCCCAGGGGGCCAGGCGGAGGGGTGCGGCCTCGGGAGCTCTCCGTGTAGTTACCCCCCCAAGCAAGGATGGACAGATGACTCCTTGCCCGAGGGCGAACCTGCTCGGACAAGAACGGGAGGCGCCGCTGTAGTCTGATGGGCGCATTGGGCGGAGAAGAAAAGGAAGGCGAGGGCAACGGGGAGTCGACGTGGCGAACGTGAGGACAGGGGCGAATTTGGGGGTTGCCCGTGCCTCTGGGCACCGAGTAGGCGTATCCTCAGGTTCTTTACTTTCTCTCCTGGGGCTCAGCCCTCAGTCCTGGACCCAAAACTCTCAAATCTCCTGGAGCTTACCGCGTCCTGTCGGGGATCAGGCGCATCTTTTCGCATGGCTTCTTTGGGCCCAAGACGGCCCAAACACGAGCCGAGAGGGCCCCAAGAGGCCCCTCAGACGGTCCGAGAGGGCCCCGAATCGCCGAACGATTGCCCAAGACACCCTAGATGGCCTCAAGATTGCCCCAGAAGCGTCCAAAACGCCCCAAGAGGCCTTCCAACCGCGGAGAATGCGCGTTTCACGGGCGCTTGCCCTGGGAACATTGGACGGCGCGTTTCGAACCGAGGGGTGCCCCCCACCCCCAACACTCAGCGCCGTCGATCAGAACCAGGGGGACCTCCCCCCCCAACCCCCCCCTCCCGACCCCCCCCCCTCACCCCAGGGCGGGAGGGGGCGGTTCAAACCACCACCACCAACCCCAGCGCCGGCGCCGGCGCCGGCGCTGGCGGCCGCCAGCAGCGCCGACGGCGGGGACGCAGCGACGACGACCCGAGGCAGCCCAAGGGGGGGGGGCGGGCGTCCAACCCACCCATACCCCCACGCCGGCGCCGGCGCTGGCGGCGGCCAGCAGCGCCGGCGCCAGCGACGGCAGGGACGCAGCGACGATTACCACCACTACCACCACCACCACCACTACCACCACCACCACCACCACCTCAACCCACCACCGCCACCACCAACCCACCACACAACCACCACCACCACCACAACCACAGCCACCACCACCACAACAACCACCACCACCACAACTCACCACCACCACCACCACCACCACCACCACAAAAACCCATCACCACCACCACCACCACCGCCACAACCACCACCGCTACCAACAGCACAACCCACCACCACCACCGCCACAACCACCACCACTACCAGCAGCACAACCCACCACCACCACCATCACCAGCACCCAGGAGAAGTAGGGGAGGAGGGGGAGATTCGAACCCCCCCCTCTCAGTCACAGGAAGGGGGGGGAGAGGTTCGAACCCCCCCACCCTCCATCCAAGGGGGGGGGTCCGGTTCCAACCCCCCCCCCTCCAAGCAACCACAGAACGCGCTCTTTCTAACCGCGATATGTGACCTCTTCAATACTTGGAAACTGATCATGTTTACGGCGACCTTATTGACGGACTGGGGTCCCGCCAAGAATGGGAAATCATTAATTCTCCGCAGCACCCGCCGCACAACAACGACGACGACGACGACGACGACGACTACGATTACGACTACGACCATAACCACGATACGACTACGGCTACGGCTCTGACGACGACTACGACTATGAGCAGTAAGCGACCACGACTACGACTTCGAGTACGACTACGACGACGACGACGACGACGACGACGACGACGACGACGACGACGACGACTACTGCTACTACTACTACTACTACTACTACTACTGCGACTACGACTATTACTAACTAACTACTAATACTACTACTACTA